TAGATTTTATCTCATACTCTGCTACTTTTGTTGAAAAATCATTAGTGGTTTATAAAATTGTGCATGTTAGCAGACATTCATTTCCAGGAACTTTTCTTCAGAAAGACTTTTGAGGCTTTTTAAAAGCATTGTATAAAAACCACGTCGCGGTCTTTGCATCATTCGTAACAGATTAAACGAAAAATCGTGCTTCTGATTGAGCTACTGTTGAGGTGAGTGGACATTTGCTCTCGAGCGGAAACGAACGCTCTTTCTGATGTCACCCTCCATTGGACGGTAGGGCAGCGCGGGAGACTGTGGATTTAAGTTCAGACTTCACACGTCCGCGACAGCAAAGAGGGTGAAATTGAGAACAATCCCACGACGTCGCTTTGTCTCTGTTTCTCCCCTCGCTCCTTTTTGCCTCTTCCTCGTCTTTCTTGCCCTCTTCTAAATTACACGTGTTCCCTTCAATTCCTCTTTCTTCTGCGTCAGCCCTCCTTGTTCTTTATCATCCGCCTGACCGTTCGTTTAAATTCCTGAATGATCAGGATCAAAAGTTAAACGTTATACATTCACAAGGAACCTTCACCAGAGCCTTTACTACATCAGTTGTTTTTCTACTTGACGTCAGATAATTGTTCCATTACGCTCCGTTCATGGTTTCCCATAGATGATGCCGTATCCTTATTTAATATATTCATAAATTGATGCTACGTGACAGAAACCATGACTTGTAATGATAGCATTAAACACATTTGAATTCCATTTGAAAATTATGTAGAGCGAGGACCTTATCGTGGATCAAACGTAATGATCCCTATCAGGTCTTTTCTTTTTCAATGCAAAGTTCATGCTAACGAGATTAGGGAAAACCTAAATCGACAAAACGCATTTTGCTGACGTAATGTTTTCTCGCTCACTACTGACGGGTTTGGGAAGGAGGAAAAGTGCATCGGAATAAGGGCCGTTCAACAATTCAAATTGCACATCGAATCTCGTGAAGGAAATCAAACGTGAGATCGTTAGAAAAACACCCGAAGTGCAAGAAAACAAAAGCGTCTCGGGCGGCGTTTCGTGCGTTGCGTTCGCCCGTGCGCGTGTCCCGCCGGCGCGGCGCGGAAATCCCCACCCGGCTCGCGTGGTGCAGTTGGCTCGTGACTCACGACAGCGAGCACGAGCGATGCACTGGCGGCAACGCGGGGCGGGGCAGGGTGGGACGCGACAAAGCAGGGCAGGGCGAGGAGAGCGCAGAGGCAGCGGGGTGGAGGAGGACAGGACGGAGCGGAGCGAGGCGAAGCGGGACGAGGTGAGGTGGGACATTGCTGGATGGGCGTAGCGGGTTTGGCTCGGCAGTGGGCGAAGGACAGAGCACATGTCAGGGCAGAGGTCGAAACGGGCTGGGACACAGCGGAAGGAGCGAGGCGAGGCGCGGAGGAGAAGTACGGGACGGCGCGGGGCGAGGCTTGGCGGGTGGCGTAGGACGGGTGCAGCGTGAGAGATGGCGACGATGGCGCGCACTCGGGGACAAAAAGGCCGCGTTCGTCCAGTGCTCGCGAATCGCCGCGGCGCGGCGCGGGGCGGCGTCGCCACCGTCTGGACTAACGGCGCGCGCTCACGCGACCGGTGCGGAGCGACGCCGCTGTGCTGCAGCCGCGCGCCGATCGCCGCCCTGATACGGCGTGGCGCCGACAGGCTGCCACAGCTCAGCGGAAACACCGTTGCCTACGCAACATCGGTGTCGACGAGGGCCTACGGTGGCAGACACTCTACATAACTGCGGCGCAATCAGCCTATGTCTGAAAGAGAATTTTAGCGGCCGGCTGCTCTAATCGGTTGTTTCCCATGATTTATCCGAACTGTCCAAGCGCATGCTGGAACTGTTCTGACAAAAGGGCTATGCACTCGCGCGGTCAGTTATTCCTCATCTGTGTACCTTCCTCTCTCCTTTCACATACCTGTACACCATTGCCTGGTAGGTCGGCACTGAGTCTAACGTTTCAACGGGAAAGGAACACCGCCCCTTCCCGGGATATAATATACGCTCACTTCCGGAGATACTGTCTCCTGGAATAAAAACTCAAGTCAGTGGGTTGCGCCGAAGAACCGAGGTAGAGAAAATCGACGATCAGAAATCACCGAAATAGGTCGGCAACTGAAAAGAAACAAACTTGGTGATTATTGGACGTCAGTAGCGAATTACCAACGCTGTAACGTCATTGTGAAGTTTTACAATAGATGAGGCCACAATCGCTCATATATAGCACACCATTGCATGCATTTATCATTTTATTATTATGCTCTTAAGGTTAAAATGCATCTACTGCTCTATCTAATGGTTCGAGATCTAATGATTGGGTGCCCGTCCGTGAGTATTGATCTCGCTGATGAAACACGAAATTTGTTATATCAACGACCACAAAAAGCTTTCACAAAGCCAAGACTAATGCTTCATTCCCTGTCTTATGTCGTTCTTGTTGTCAGATCTGTTCAAATTTATTACGAAAAAAATTTCAACGAAAATGAGGGCAGTAAAACTTTGCAGATTTATGCCATCGTGATGCTCAAGATAAGTCTTCCTTCACAACCTATCGAAGTTTAGATTATTTTTCAGTTTCTCAGAATACACATTTTCCTTTCATTTCAATCGGTTTCGTAACATTACTCAAATTATTTTAATTTCGAAAATGTTTGTGATCCTTACCTTAAACTCAGAAATAGTATTGGTCTTAAAACTACAAAGTCACGCTCCAACTATTTAGAATTTATAGAGCTGCATAGGGAGGCACTGTGCATAGTTCGAGTATTTCATGAGAAGATTCACACAATTTATGACCTATCTCTTAGGAATAGTTTCTTCTGTTGTATAGAATCGTCGCATTTGAATTACGTTGTAGGTGTTCATGTGATTCATTTTGAGTGATATACACAATTCAGAAGTTTGTAGTATTTAAATTGTGACTAAGAATGATTATTTGTCATCCACGTTGTTCATAATTTCTTCGATCCTAAACTCCTCACGCTCCAGTAGATGTCATCTGTTTCTTCTCTCCGTACCAATCATTCTACTCATGTCTTCTCTGATTCTTCGGAGTAAACGTATTGATCATTAACAGCAATCCTCAAATTAATTCTACCTTTTGATTTTGCGACAATTTTATATGGTACAGAAAACTCACATTTTCGATGCCATTTTATTTGTCACCGATGTTTTTTCAGTTTTATCTGCTTACTATTCCTCTTCAATGTAGTGTCTGACGTCTAGGATAAAGGAAATAAGCTGCGGTGTCCACAAAATGATAAAATGCTTTTGCTCTGTGACTGCAGGAAAAGTGAGCGAAGCCCACTTTTGCGAAGAAATATTGAGTTGGAAAGATCGTTTGTTTGCCTTACTGCTCTATGCTGCGTTCGGACTGCTGCGGCTGGTGGAATTCACCTTTTTGAACTGATAAGAGGCCGTGGAAGGTCACCGTGTTTTGGAATCGTATTACTTCCAAATGAATGACATGTTTGTATGCTGATAAATGACAGGAGTTTGCTGTTAAACGCCTGCAGTAAAAAAAAAAAAACTTTCGTTAGCAAGTTTAAATATTGATTTTTATGATTGATATTTACGGGCACGTCAGCCGCTGTGGTCATTAGTCCCGTTAGTGATGTTTTATCGCGAGAGGTGGAGGTGTTCCTCAGCCGATGGATGGAGAAATTCGGCGCCAACTTACAGGATTAGGAGTATTTCCTCCTTTAGTATCTCCCCATCTGAGCACCTCCGAAGCCTGGGCAGGCTCTAAGCTCCCGACTGGTCTTCCGTGGTGTATGGTAGTGTAGTGTGTGTAAGTAAGGGGAGAGGAGAGGATAGGACTAGGAAGAGGAAGGGAATATCGTGCGCGATCTCTGGCTCATTTGTTAGGGTATGCTCCGGCATTCGCTTGGAATTGTTTGAAGAAACCACGAAAAAACATCCGATCAGAGCTCCCGACCAATAGAATTCGCCCCCAGATGGCGGTGAATTTGACTGGCTATGTAGCTAGTGTTCCGCTACCGTCGGGCTCGTCTCCTTGGACCTACTGGTTCGAGTCGTTGCAGGGACAGCGGTAATGCTGGCTCTGATGTAGACTCAGCCGGTTCTTTTGGGTGGTCTCGTTGCTGCCCCTGCTGCGCCCGCCGCCCCTGTCCCTCCGTCTCCCGTTGCCGGCTCATCGGGCGCTCGGCATCCGCCCGCGACTGCTCGCCGGCGCGGCGCGGCGCGGCGCCCCTTCGTTAACGCTCATTACGATCGCAGGCGCAATCGCCCTCGGTTTGTGATCAACCGCCCGGCGGCGGCGGCGGCGGGCGATTCGCGCGCCCGGAAAATCTGAGGGCGGCCGCCCGCGTCCCTTTGGCCCTCTGACCCATCGCCCTTCCGAGCCATTGCTCCAGGCACCTTCCAATTCCCTGTGTGGGCGCGCTTATGGGCCTCTTTTGTGCGTGTGTGTGGATGAGGGCGTGTTCCATTACGTACCCTTACGTTGCGAACCAGCTCGGGTAATTTGATAGGGGCGATTGGAATCATAAGTTAGTTCAGTTGGTTACGCCACTTGGATATTTTTCAGTACGTGATATTACTATTCATTCATTCAATCTGTTTCATGTTTTGGTTTCCTTCAGTGGTTGTTAACTTTATTTGTCAGACTCTTATTTTTTTTTTAAATAATAAAATCTGATATGTCCTATATACAGCTCAATTTTCAAGATTGTATATAATTCGCACTGACATTTTCTAATTTTTTTTTAGTTATTGTCATTTCTTATGGGGTTTTGTGTTCAAGAAGATACTTCCGCTGTCTTCCTCCTAACACTGGACACGTTTTGATCCTCATCCCCGTCGTTGTACTATTCCTCCAAAATCATTAATATTCTGCTTATTTCACGCTTTGTTGGCCGCATACTCCGACCCGTTTTTGATAGCACTCGCCCTTTCATAGAGGAAAACGACTTGTTTGAAAATCGACGATAAAAAGCATTATCATTCAAATCTGGCGTGAATGGTTTGCACGGTCTGAACTCTTGCGATAACATATTTAGCGCAGCGTTGAAAATTAGTTTATCTTAGAGCCGGGGGATAACTAGAAGGGGGAAGTCCCGTCCTCGCCGGATCCTTCGAAAAGGTCGCCCTGCGACTGAGATCGTGAAAAGGAAACTGGATGCGGAATAATCGCCCGATTAAGTATCGAATTTGTTTCCGGACGGTTCGCTCGGAAACACTGCCACGCCCTCTTCGCGCCCTGGGAGCGACGGGAGTCGAAAATCCAATCCTGGCGAGGGGAGAGCAAGCAAGGGATGCGGCTCAGCGACGAGGGCGATTACCAGTGCAGGGGGAGTGGTGAGAGGGCATTAGAGCGGAGCGCGTTTTGAATCTCGCCTCTGGTGATGCCCTCAGGCAGTCTTACGCCCCCACGAAATATGTGCGAGTCAATAGGCAGCTTGAAAAAGCTCTTTCTGACATGAGAGCGCGTATGACGTAAAACTGTATTAGGTATAATACCATGTACTCGTAGAAATAGTTGAAATAGTCAATACGTGAAGTTGTCAGAAGTAAATTTGACGCTTTCTGTTATTACCAAAATATGTGACACGACAGGTAATCGGCATTTCCTAAATTATTATTATTATTATTATTATTATTATTATTATTATTATTATTATTATTATTATTATTAATATTACGTTATTATTGTTATTATTAATATAGCCCGTTCTCATTCGTAACCTTGTTGTAGCAAGAACCTCCTGTTACCGGATGGGTACCAATCATATATGAATTTCTGAGTACCCAGATCGAGAGCCCTCTTATGTAGATTTTTCGATATTAATAAATAAATTTATTAGTACGTGATTTGTGAATTTTTCGTTCTTGTCAAATATTAAAATTAGAAAGTACTATTGATAACTTCGGCTGAAGGGTACAATGAGTTAATGCATTCTTCTTGCATGCTTCTTATTCATTGGTAATAAACCGGTTTTCTTATAGTACAATAGGAACGACCAAGAAATAATTTACGTGGATGCTGTACTCAGAAAGAATGCCAACATTACAAGCTCATCAAAGCACAAATACGTTAATTTAGCATTGACCACGCTTAGGGTACGATATTGCGAACTATCTCTGGCATGACTTAAACCATCTCTTAAAACTCGCCCCCAAGGAATACTTCATACGGTTCGACATGTGACCGCGAATGCAGGGCGTGCCCCTGCCTGCAGCCGGTGAATTAGCGCAAGGCGTCGAGGGCGAGGCAGATGCGTTAAGACGAGCGGCCCCTCTGCAGCTGTCGATGAGCGAGCGCCCCGCCCCGCCCCGCCCCGCCTCGCGGTTCCTTACGCCCGCCGCGCATACAATCATGCGCGCGGGGGCGACGGCATCGGGGACATTGCGTGCCGGGACATCAATAATTTGGGGGCGCAACCTCGCCCCACGCGCGATTGTTGAGGGGGTCGGCGTTTAACCGGCCCCTCACTCCCCGCGGCGGGCCCGCGCCACTAGGAGCGCTCCCGCGGGAGACCCGAACTGCCATTAGGGCTTTGTGGCTTTGGACGCGACGTTCTTTGACTTGCCTTCCGCTGCTCCGAGGAGCGAGGTGCAGAGAAATAGGAGCGTTTAGGGAAGTTTCATTAGAAAAGTTTAATGTGGAATCTTCAGTAAGGATTAATTTATCTCGTATATGTTCCATTTTAATCTACGTAATCTTCCTATTATTTATTTTTTATCAGTCCTATATTTCTTTATCGTATACTGCTTCAAATTGTGCGATTTTTTAGATTTGTTTGATTCTTGAAAAACAATATCAATCCCTCTCTGCTTAAGTTGCCCGTCCTCCAGTGTAATGTCGGTAACGATTAACATGAAGACACTATTTTGCCTGTGATGGTTGCCCTTTGTGATTTTCCTCATAACATCAGTTTATAAGTGTTTGTATGTGGAACGGTATTTCAAGTCGAAGGTTCTCGATTGTCTTTCCTTAATCACACTATTACATACTCGTCTTAGCAGGCCCACTATATCTTACTGGGCTGTCATATCCATAGATGCCATATTTTCCCACGCCTGGATCCTTACAAAACACCTCAGCTTTTTTTTTTTTTTTCAATCTCTTAGGGTGATCCCTCTTTCTTTCCCTCGGCCCATATTCCCGACCCGCGCTTCCTCCCTCGCCCGTCACTGCCGCTCCCCGCGCGTGCGCCCCGCTGCGTCTTTTATTGATCGTGGGCGCTTTTGCTGCGGGATGGCTGCAGGGCGAGGCCGCACGCGGGCGGGGCGGGGGGGCGGGTGGCTCGAAGACAAGGCGCGGGCGCGCCGAAAATTTTGAACCGCCTCTGCCGCCCCGTCACGTGCCGGTCGATGGGGGACGCGCGGAAGAGAGGATCCGCGGTGACTTCCGCACGTATTGACTCCAGGGGGCCCTGCGACGTTACTGACGCGCCAATATGACCTCCACGTGACTGCCCGCCTCCGTGCCCCAGGTGCTGCGAAATATCCGAAGTGGATGTACTGGTGCGGGTCAACAGTGTAGTTTTTCAAATGTGAATGATTATGATTTTTTAAGTAGGCAAGTAAAAGTGCGCTTTAATATATTACTGCACGTCATCTAAAAAATGATTGTGGGGCTCTCGTTTGAAAATTATAGAACATCTTATCTAAAAGACTTGTCCATCAACTTCAAGGTCTTGTCAATCGAAAAGAGTTGCGTGAACCGGAAACAAATAATTTTTCAAAATTCCTTCGATTTATTATTCCTTAATAAAAAAAAAAGTATTTTAACAGCTTTTAAGAGGGCTATTTGGGTATTGCTATTGGAGTTGATTGTGGTTGAGAAATGCTGAATTGAGGATGCTATAGTCCGTGAGGTGTACAACAGTAGCTGACAAAACATCTAGAGCCGTTGGATTGGGGGAGAAAATCTCTCCGCCTAGCGAAGCCGGTGCGAAAGAAACCGCAGACATGCATATTCGCGAGGCGGCAGATCATGCAGTCACCATTCCCGTCATTGCGCTGGGATGGACGTTAATATAGAAGACGGGGGGTCTAAATTCCGGCAAGGTTTCTCGTAGCTCCGTTGTCTCTGAACTTTAAAGACGAGAGAATGACCTACCTACAGGGAGGTCGCGAGGAGAAGAGAGACGAGAGAGATGTGGCCAGGTACTCGCGACCGCGCGGCAAAGGGTGCATACCTCTGCTCCTTTTGTCTTCTCTTCTTCTCCTTCCGCTTCTGTTCTTGAATCCCGTCCTCGTCTGTTCCGCCGAGAGTCTCGTTGTGCATTTCTCTCCGCCTCCGCTCCGGGCCTTTCTCACTCCATCCCCCGTGCCCAGTGTCGCGCCTCCTGCGCAGCACTCTCCGTCAGCGACTCTGTTTCCACCAGTGGGCGGATGTTCTCCTTGCTCTTCGCTCCCGCGGGAGGGAGTGCTGCTACTCCCGGGATTATTATAACGTAAATTCTTCGTCGCTCTGCGCCGCCCACGGCGCTCTCGCCGGTTAGCGCGGCGTTAATTACATGCTACCTCGTTCGCTTCCCTCAGGGCAGCCGTGTGGGCACTGGCATCGTCTCAGTGCTGCGTGTGGGACGCTTCGTGCCTTCCGGCAGGGTTCGGCGCTGGCGTATATATGGTTGTACTCTGATGCTCGGACGGATACTTTGGAGATCTATAGCGGCTCCGTGTCATATATACTGCTGCCGTCCATTTCCTTTCACGTCGGCTTTACTCCGGCTAAGTCGCTCTTGTCTTTGCTCCGTCTTGTTGTTCTCGTCGCGGACTCTCTGTCTCGAGCTCCGGCTTCGCCTGTCGCTCGGCGGCCCCGCAGTCTGCCTGGCTTCTCCTCTGCCCGTCCTTGCGCTGAGGCGGTCGACCCAGTTAAGGGGGCGACGGGGCTCGGCGGTGTGATGTGTGCGACTGACGGGGCGGGTCGCGAGTTCAGGCGACTGTGGGCGAGCGCGCGGTGATTTGAGGGGCGGCGCGTGCGTCGCATGTGGACGGCGTTCGGGCGACAGCGGCAGGCGTGCAGGAGGGCGGGGTGAGGAGGGGGGCGGTGCGGGCGAGTGGGGCGGACGGAGACAGGCGTTATATTAGTTCGGAGGCGAAGGGCAGGAGAGGGGCTCGAGTAGTGGGCGGTACGTCGTCGTAGTCGCTTGGTGTTAAATTGCGGAAATCGATCTCTTTCCCGCGTTGGACGTAGGCTGGCTCCGGACGGCTGCTATAGATATACGATGCATTCATAATATGCGCAGACTGGACGAGCGGCAGCGACGCCAACAGATGCAGAGGATCCAGATCGCGTGCGATGCTAGGCCGGGGAGGCGGGGATCGCCGCAGATCGACTTCGCTCTTCCTCTTGCGCCGCGCTCGGCACCGCAGTCGCGCTCCCTTCTGTTTCGCTCGCAGCCACTGCGCCTCGTTCCGCTTCTCCCTCCTCACAGCTTTCACCGGCCGGCATCGTGGCCCGTTCCGCTCCAGCGCTCCCCGCGCGGCTCCGCGACCCACCTTACGTCAGGCGGTCCGCGCGCCGCCGCCGAGCCGACGGCACGCGCGCGTTCGAGCCTCAACACTGGCTAGCATTTCGGTTGAGTGGGCGTGTTTGCTTACTCTCCGGGTGCTCCGCAGCGGTTGGCGTTCATGTTGCCGTGGTGGGAGTCCGCCGCGGGCAGCCAGGGGGCCGCGCCGTCCTCGAGTTCAATTTCTCGCTAGTCATTCCTTCGTATCGCTGTTTGTCCGCTCCGGGTGGCGTTTTTCGAGAACGGCTGCGTCTGATTTAGTAGGGCGAGTCGGCACAAAAGGGCTGAGTTGCGTCGGTGTTGTTTTCGCTCCACCTCTGGTGGAGTTCGGGCTTGTGTTACGCGGCTCTTGCGTTACGGATAGGTAGCTGTTCGGAGACGCGGTTGGCGGCAGCGTCTGCTTCGTCTGTTCTGTCGACGCATAAGGTTTCCGGTTTGATATATAGTGTGCCACCATTAGGCTCGTCGTTGCGCACGATGTGATAAAATCTGCTTTCTCTTTTATGGGACG